GCTAAGCGTCGTGTTCTACCTCTGCCTCACGCTTCGCTTGTTCGAATGCTTTTCCAAAATCAAGAGTAAACGCCATAATTAAGTACATTTTTTAATATACTATAGTTCCACAGTTTAAGGCAGGGCGTGAAACAGACCGTACCTGAGTGCCAGGTTGATATGACTCTTCGTTTGCAAAGACGACCGTGTTTTCTTTCTCCTTCTTTTTCTTCTCCTTCTTCTTCTTCTCTTTCGTTTTCTACTTTGCCTAAAAACGATGGGGGATGGCCTCTGAAACGCATAGTAGGAGTGTTTATATATATATATATATATATATATATATATATATATATATATATATATATATATATATATATATATAAGCTTTTGTATGGGTCACTAAAACCAGAAGAATTACGCCCAGGATAAAAAGCTTTTGGTATTTAACGGGAAGACTCAAATACCTGTCCATCACAAACTAAAATAAATAAATAAATAAATAAAATTAAAATAAACAAGTAAAATAAAAATGAATAAATAAAATTAAAATAAACAAGTAAAATGAAAATAAATAAATAAAATTAAAAATAAATGAATAAAATTAAAATAAAAAAGTAAAATAAAAATAAATAAATAAAATTGAAAAAAAAAATTAAATTAAACAAGTAAAATAAAAAATAAATAAATAAAATTAAAAATAAATAAATAAAATAAAAATAAATAAATGAAATAAAAACAAAATAAAGGAATAAAACGAAAAAAAATGGGAAAAAAAGTTCTGTGCATTATACTTCGACCTAATTATACACATCGATGGGCTAAATCATCTGAACATCCCACACGTTATAAGAAGGAAGGGTGATATCGTAATATCCGCTTCGAAACGCGACCCTATGCTGGGCTTCCGTTAATAATACGATTTGTGAACTTAATACAGATATTCAAATATTGTATGTCAACTGTAATAATAATGGGTTGTATCATCACCATCACTGCTATTATTTATCTGTATCTGTTTCCTCTGTTTTTCCTTTTGTTCTCTCTCCTCTCTCCTTCTATTCCCCCTCCTCCCTTCTCCCATTCGTTCTTTTCTTCTTTCCATCCATTTCTCTCTCGCTATTTCCCACATTCTATTTCTCTGTGTTAATTCTGTCCCCGTTTATCACAATTCTCCGCCTCTCTCTCCACTTCTCTCTTCCCCTCTCCAGCTCTCTCTCCCCCTCTCTCTTCGCCGTTCTCTCCGCCTCTCTCTTTACTTCTCTCTTCCCCTCTTCGGCTCACTCTCCGCCTCTCTCTCCGCCTCTCTCTTCACCTCTCTCATCGCCTCTCTCTCCCTCTCTCTGTCTCTCTTTCTCTCTTTCTCTTTCTCTCTCTCTCTCTCTCTCTCTCTCTCTCTCTCTCTCTCTCTCTCTCTCTCTCTCTCTCTCTCTCTCTCTCTCTCTCTCTCTCTCTCTCTCTCTCTTCTCTCTCTCTCTCTCTCTCTCTCTCTCTCTCTGCCTCTCCCCCCGCCCGCAAACCCGACCTTCCCCTAACACATTCCCTCCTCCCACCAGGAACGCTCGCGGCACTGACCCTCGGCTGTACGCTACGAAGTGCCAGCAGCGAGGTCTTCTTAGCGCCCGAGCACGACCTCCTCTCGGCCCTCGCCTGGTCTTCGCTGGACTTCAGTGACGTGGCGCCCCTCCAGCCCCGAAGTCTGTTGAGGTCGGAGCGTCACGTGGACAGCATCAACAACAGCACCGCCCTCGTTGCCAAATCGAGGAAGAGACGAACGATTACTCTGCACCCGAAGGAATTTTACGTGGGGGTAAATAGGAGAGAGATGTTTCGTCAGATGTTACATGAAAGATATGTATATATTTGTGTTGTGAGATCGGTAGGATGTGTGATGTTGAGTGATGTTTGTATTTCGTAGATCGTCATGTTCATCAACATTATTTTTTTTAACGTGTGATTGCTTCATTACATGTGTAAATGACCATACTTAGCATTTTTTATTATTATAAAATTATCATTCTCAATATTCATTTTTCACTGATTTGATATTATTGCTAAATCATCATGCATAACAATATTTTTTTTTTTTCTACTGATTTTAATGTAATAACTCAATCATCAAATTCGTCAATATTTTCTGTTGCTTTAATGAAACTTTAAAAGCATTAATTTAGTCTATCGAATTTAATACAATGACTTAATGTATCGATATCTGCCAGACTCACCATACTGATAGTGATTTCTCTACAGCTATTAAATCACCAGCATTGATAATAACTGCAGACTTTAATACACACTGTACATTACATACCTGAATATCCCAGTACCAGCAACAATTAAAACCGCCTTTAATACACCTTAAAAAGAGAGAGAAAGAAGATAACTAAATACACCAATTCTTAATTCAAAAAAACAAATGAACACGTAAATATACCTATAATTACCACTATAACTTCCTACATTGATCCCTAACCTTTCTCTCTCTCTCTCTCTCTCTCTCTCTCTCTCTCTCTCTCTCTCTCTC